TAAATCCAAGTAAAGTGAGACGTGGCGTGCAAAAATTTAGTATTTCCAGATATTTACACGTGTCCTGTGCATCATTTCATGATTTGGTCTATGTGGTTGTGTTGTTAATGTCTGATGATGGGGGCGCTGAGCTGCCCTTTGGGACAATGGATTGCTCCTCAGATCGTTTGATCTTCACTGGAGTTCTTCTGATGTTCTTATCAATATCTATCAGAGATATTTAGTCCAGTCGGATCAAACTCATCCTTCTGTTCATCAGCTGCAGGTCTCATCTGGTCACATCTGGATAGAAGAGACCGGAGCACTTTCAGGGCAGCAGTTCAGGGTTTAGAGGCTGAAGTTTTTTTGGATGATTTCGTTAAGCAGATTTGTGCACTTGGAGCTCAGAAACGCTCTTGTGTTCCGAGTAAACAGGTCATGAGACTCTCAGAGTCATGAGACCAGCTCCAACAAAGAGGCCAGATGCCTCACATGGTGGTCACATGAAGCTGCTCAGCTACATTAAGTCAACTGGTCCCAAAGTTTCACCCAGATTCCACAGCCAGACTCAGAGCTTCACAGACCTGCAGCTGCTCCAGGAGACAGAAACCAACCTTCTCAGACCTTCAGTCTGGTCTGCATAGAACCACAGAGGGCTGCCCCGGCGGCCCGGGTTCAACTGCACAGGAAGGCAGGAGGATCGGTTGGATGTGGAGGGAACCACATGGATGCTTTTCATCTGAGCTGAGGGTGGAAGCAGCACAGAGGTTGGTTTGACATCCAGTCAGAAAGAAAACTTTAATGGTAAAATTTTAATAATCCAGATCTAAAACAGAGGATTTAAAAAAAAAAGATCTATATATATATCTAGATATATCTAGATATATATATAGATTTACATTTTTTAGGAAAATTGTATGAATTTACTCCATCTTAAAGTAATAATTCAGCATTAGAACGAAATCTATCCAGGATTTAACCCTTTAGGAGGAGCGGCCCTGTTTCTGCCCCCCAGCCTCTGGTGGGTGATGTGGGAAAAATATGATGATGATGATGATGATGATGATGATGATGATGATGATGATGATGATGATGATGATGATGATGATGATGATGGTCTTTGTTCACGTGAAAAAGACAATAACCCTGCAGGCCATGTGCCACTCAGACGGTAATCCTCCATCATGGGGAGTGCAGAGATTTGATGAAGTGCAGGACGTCAGTCAGTGAGGACCATGTGGGGTTAAACACACAGGAATCAGAGCTTTAAAGGGCAGCTCTGTATTTCTCTGTGCAGGAGCAGGATTAAGGTTCAGATTAAGAGGAATTAATGAATGAAAAATGGAAAAAATAAAAACTTAAACACCCAGAAATTAGCCTGATCCTCTCAGCAGTAACTCTAGTGTTTATAATGTTTAAACTTAATGGAGTTGTCCTGTTAAAAACCGAGCAGCAGATCCGTCTCCATCTGTGTAACTGAGCAGCAACACATTATAATCTGCTTTATGCCCGAATGTTTCCTCTTTAGGTTCACAGAGCCTGGATCGAGAGAACCTTCCAGAAGAGAGAATGCATCCAGATCATTCCCAGCAAAGATGCCAGCAGGTAAAACGATGCCACCAAAATGTTGCTGGTTCCACTTTACATGAAGGCTCCCTTATAGACGACTAATAATCAATTTACAGAAAGGTTCTAAATTAATCTGTAAACATGTCATAACTTATTAATAGGGATTTATTTTGCACTAACTAAGGGCGAACAAGAGACAGTTCATTGTCAAGCTGTCAGGCTAAGACGTCCAACTATAGATTTCATTCAGTGTTTATTATTTGCAACATTTCCCTTCAAATAATAACCAAAATATTTTAGCATGCATGTGTTGAATGCACAATAAATGCTTATAAATGTCTATAACATTTTTACAGATGTGTGGGGTAACTGTTGGTCAGTCGGCTGTCAGCTGAGCAGGCATCGGGTCACAGGTTTGGGATTTTCTGCGATGTATCTGCTTATAGCAGCCATAACCAAGGAAGGAGTTAACTCTCCCATTTAGAGAGAAGGAGAAGAGCAGAATTTCTGTAGAAAGAAGAAACCAAATAAGCTTAACATCCTCATGAGGGTCTAAGTCTTTGGCTTTATTTCTTCTGGTCGTTTTACTGAATAAAGCTATGGAGGCCTTTTCTGCAGAGTAAAGGATTTATCATCCTGAAACTTCTACTAACTAAAGGTAGAGCTCAAAACCCAACAAGTAAAATTAAACACCTTGACTCCTTGTTTTTGAACATCAAAATAATTCCCCTTGGTCAGGGTACTAAAGCACATCCTGTTACATCAATGTTCACCTAGAAAGCCAATGCTAACACGCTAAGAATGCCCATAATGCCAATGACAGGACTGGTCAGAAATTTCTCCAGCCTCATGCGGATAGAAAAGGGGCCATTTTTGTGGAAGACTCAGTGGGAATTAAGACCACATGGGAGTAATTTATCATCAGATCCAATCTAGAGCTTGTGTGAGTGAATAAGTCAACAGTCATCTGATGAAGATCCTTAGTCATCCAGGTCATAGTCAATTCCGTAAAAGTTTAAAAAACAATCCACTGGACTTGGTTTCCAAGGTTTGAAGACGTTTCACGGATCCAGACATTTGAATTGAGAAAGCTTCCTGGAGGGGAAGCGAAACGTCTTCAAACCTCAGAAACCAAGTCCAGTGGATTGTTTTTTAAACTTTTACGGAAGTCAACAGTCATCTTAAAACTCCGTCAGAATGAAAATTCTTGGGTCCATCAGGATCTAGAACATATGCAGTACTGCCGTCCTTTATTCTCAGGAGTTCTTCATTCTGTATATAAAACCTAACAGACAGCAGGAGCTTTTCCCAAACTGCTGCTCCAGAGTCCTGACCAACACCTGGACCAAACTACTTCTTACATCAATGAACGTTTTCCTTCTTAGTAGATAGAATTACTTTCTTACCTTTTAAAATTCTACTGTTGGTCCATAAAGCGTTCACTGATTTTGGGTTGAAACATATTTTAAGTTTCTGCTCGGGTTGGAGGCATTTAGACTCCCCAGGACTTACAGCGGTAAGAGTCCAGACCAGAGGTCACGGGTTAGCGGACCGCGGTCCGGATCCGGACCCACCTGCTGCCTAATCCAGACCCAACCTGATTTAAAACATTTATAGATTATCATATGTTGTCTAACTTCACCTGCCCCTCTTTTCCTGTTAATACGGTAAAGTGGAGCGTCCGGCTCCAGGCTGCGCGTGATCCAAATTAGCCAATGATTGTTTTTTATAATTTTTTATTAAAAAATTCATCAATGCATAAACAACTAATTTTATTTCAGTGTTAAATTCTGTTTAAAGTAACAAAACATTAAAAATGTCTCCGGACCTTTACTGGTTGATGATTCTCTTCCTAGCTCCTACCGTTGCTAAGAACCGCTGTTCTTAGCTCCTTTTACCTTTTGCAGGGCGAACAATGACACTATCCAGGGTAGGAAAGTATGGAGTCAGAGAGGGGGAACAATTATTGTAAACTTAATTGTTAAATTATTGAAACTGAAAAAATACAAGTTGATATTGAATGTCCAATTTTTACTTATAACCGAAAAAACTATAAGAAACGATCATAAAACAATAATTGAATCAAAATTTTTCCCCTCAGCTTAAAAAAAACCTCATAATTCAGTTTATTATTTTAATTACAGTTATTCTTTTTTTTTTTCTTTTCTTTATTGCAGTTTTAGATTTAAAATTTTCAGATTCAAATCCATTTCTCTCAGTCTATTTTCTTTAGTTAATTTAAGAAAGTAGTTTAATTTTTATAATTTAAAAATTCATCAATGCATAAACACCTCATTTTATTTCAGTGTTAAATTCTGTTTAAAGTAACAGATCATTAAAAATGGACTTTTGCTGGTTAATGGTTTTTTTATTCGGTCCCCGCTGATTTTTAATTGGTGACCCCTGGTCTAGACGCTACAGTAGCAGCCATTCAAAATGGCCCCTCCCCGTAAAACGCCAGCAAAATGGCCGCCCACATTCCTCTAACTCCTGTGACTACTGTGACTCCACCCTTTCACTGAATTACAGGTTTTGAATCGCCTTGTCTTTGATGGACCTTCATACATATTCCTTTTTATTCTGCTGTCTTCAGGTGCAGCTGTGGTCAGCAGGTGGCACAGCACCCCCCCATCCCAGCAGGGGCAGGTGAGGAAACGGCCCAGCTGGTTCAACTGGACGTCCATCCTACAGAACGATGGAGTGCCTTGAAACACACGCAGACGTCCGCCACCGACGCCTACGGGGTACTAGAGTTCCAGGGAGGCGGACATGTCAACAAAGCAATGGTAGAAGGAAACCCAGCGGTTCTATTGGGACAAACATGTAGAAGATCTGACCGAGTTCCCCTTTCATATCCCTCCTGCAGTACATCAGGGTCTCCTATGACTCCAAGCCAGACTCTCTCCTCCACCTGATGGTGAAAGAGTGGCAGCTGGAGCTGCCTACATTGCTAATCTCCATCCATGGAGGGCTTCAAAACTTTGACCTTCCACCCAAACTAAAGCAAGTCTTTGGAAAGGGGCTGATCAAAGCTGCTGTCACCACTGGAGCCTGGATCTTCACAGGTGGAGTCAGCACAGGTACAGCCATCAGCCGCTATTAGCCAGCTCGTCCTATCAACAGCTGTGCTTTTCCACTCTAAATCCACCCCTCTGTTAACGCTTCCGGTCTGGTGTTGCAGGAGTGATCCGTCATGTCGGAGACGCTCTCAAAGACCATTCATCCAAGTCCAGAGGAAAGGTCTGCGCCATTGGTATCGCACCCTGGGGAATTGTTGAGAACAAAGAGGACCTGATTGGGAGAGATGTAAGAAAAGTCTAATTGATTGATCATAAACGTAAGTGATTCATACAATAAAGACCAAACAACAGTGACAGTTCTTGGAAGTCTTCTGGCCCACATTGTATTGTGTAAACCCTTAGGTGAGTCATTACAAGTTAGGTGGCAACCTTCTTTAAGGCAACCAGGTGAGAGATTCCATGATGAAGCATTTAACAATTTACTTGCAAGAATACTTGCCATTTAGCAATGGCTCCTGAACAAGAGCAAAGTCCAAACCCATGAGGGACAAGGAGCACCGAGGAATGAAGAGGACGACTCCTATTGGGTAGGGGAGAGTGCCATACCTGCTGCTGGCACAGACTTGACAAGTCCGGACATATTCCTTAGAAAGAACAAGCCACCTCAAAGAATGACTGATAAGAGCAACGGTGCAACTGACACAAGGATGGCAAGAGAGCTTAGCCATGTGCGTATGTTGGGCCTGTGATATGAATACTAGCAGGATAAGACTGCAGGTCTTCCTAGAAGAAGGCCAGTAGGAGATCAGACATTTGAATCTAGAAAAAGGACAGAACAGTGAAAGGAGTTATAGGAATTACTATGTTGAGTTACATTGCCATGACAACTTCTTTTAAGACAGAACCGTCGCTGTTTTTCAGGTGACATGCCCCTATCAGACCATGTCCAACCCACTGTCCAAGCTGTCGGTCCTGAACAGCAGCCACTCACACTTCATCCTGTCTGACAATGGGACCACGGGCAAATACGGAGCTGAGGTCCGCCTTCGTCGGCAGCTTGAAAAGCACATCTCCCTGCAGAAGATCAATACACGTGAGTCGGGTGACTCCGAAACAGCCCCAAGTCATCTGCTCATGTGACCAATCATGTGACCTGTGGGTTTCCCTTTGTCATCCTATGCCTGGTGGTGTCTGTAAGGCAGGGACAGCAAAGGGAGGCTCAGCTGTCACCTCTTACTACCGATCCCCAATAACCAGGACAGCCAGACACTGACCAAAACCAGTAAAGGTTACGCAACGAGCCCAGTCCACCAGACAGAGACAAAATACTGCAGATCCACCCCATCCCAATAAAAACAGATAACAATAAGCATATATTGTGCAGTAGAGTGGATGTTTGAGTGTGTGGCTGCAAAGTAAAGATAATAAAGCTTACAGGAACAAAAACAACCAAAGATTATGAAAAATAGCAACATTTTACATGTTAATCTTACAGCAGAAGAGAAAAAAATCCTTTAAAAGAAAACAAAGTTTTTGGTTATTAATTATATTAAAAACACATTCTGGTAAAGATGAGACATATTCAGGTTAAAATAGGAAAAGCAGCAGGTTTACAGAAAGATAATAACCGTGTGAAACAAGAAGAATGTAGAAAAACACTTTCACCTTCAGGTGAGGTAAAAAAATCTATTTAGTCAGTGACATCATACAGATAAATGAATTTTTTTCGCACCTTTAGTTATTTCCTTTATGTTATTTAATACTTAATTTGAAAAACTTAGTCTGTCACCTAAAATGCTTCCTGTTAGGAGAAGGAAGAGTGAATTTGAGTCTGATCAAACTCAAAACGCAAACTCTGCAAATATGGATTAAATTCACAACAATATCTACTCAAAATATGAGAAAGTAATAACAAAATTCAACTCCAGGTTAAACACATTCAGTTAAAACTCTCATATAAACATGTGAAACTCAGCTAAATTGAATAGATTTATGAAAACTCCTAAAATGTTACCAATGAAATGATGCAATGATATCACTGTTAAGGATGGATTTATGTTTGAGGACCAAAGTTAATCTTGAAGAACTTGAAAAGAGGTAAAAGAAAAATGTTTTTAAATTACTCTGATGGAAAGTGCTAAAACAATTCAGAAAATAAATCCAACATTCATTGATTCTAAGTGTCGGATTTAGTCAAACATTTGGGATCAAATCCTGATCCATCCATCCATTTTCCATCATGCTTATCCCTGCTGGGGTACTGAGGGAGGGGTGCTGGTGCCTGTCAATGGAGGTGAGGCGGGGTCCAGCCTGGACAGGTCTCCAGTCCATCACAGGGCAACACAGAGAGAAACAGGACAAAAAAACCATTCAAATTCACACCTAAGGAGAATTTAGAGAAGCCAATTAACCTAGGAGTCATGTTTTTGGACTGTGTGAAGAAGCCGGAGTACCCGGAGAGAACCCACGGATGCTCAGGGAGAAAGCCTTGAGCCAGGAATGGAACCCAGAACCTTATTGCTGCAAGGCAGCAGTGCTACCAACTAGTCCACTGATCAGCCAACATCCTGATCTTCTTTTTTTAAGGGGTGATAGAATTATTCTATCGGGTATCTGGTCCTTCAGGTCTCTAATAGGGTGATAGAATGATTCTATAGGGCAGGGGTGCTCAAGTCCAGTCCTCAAGAGCTACTATCCTGAAACTATTTCATGCAACCATTTTCAACACACCTGAATCAAATAAGTGGCTCGTTACCACGCCTCTGCTGAGCTAAATGAGGGGATTGAGGCTTTAGATTCAGGTGTGTTAGAGAAGAGATGCATTTAAAAGTTACAGGATGGTAGCTCTTGAGGACTGGACTTGAGCACCCCTGTA